TCCCTTCTTTCAGGAACGATTTTGATGAATGAGCTATCAAATGAAAGATAGTTTCATTGAGAAGTGACGAATTTCATTGACCACTTTAATAAAAGTCATTGACAAAATTGGGAAAGTCATAAAACATTGATTGTTTCATAAGCCAACGAATCGGGACATGATCGATTTCTTAAAGATTATGGCACGGCCAAGAAGACTCGGAAGTGAATTAACTTCAAGTCTACCAAACGGAACTATATGAACTCGGTAGTTCCTCAGCCCCAAAATGTCTCATTATTCGAGTTAAAACGTAATTCTTACGAAAAGCTTCTAATTCTTAAAATAATTTTACACTTTTTACTTAATTTTTTTTATTATTTAGAAATATAACAACGTGGACAATAATTATAGTGATATATGAATACATTCATAATAATAAAATAATAATAAAAAATTATGCACAGTAAAACATAAAATAACCTAAAGATATGGAAATTAAAACATAAAAACACAGTCATACCTATATACAATATACACAATCAGGCAGGGCACCCCAAGCCAGGCTATCTCCCTCCAACTATAGAAGGAAAAGCAGGACTTCAAGAGATCCCTGCGCTACTCTCTCAACTGCGTCACTGGTGCTAAAGCCAGTGGATTTACTTAATAAAACAAGAAAATATGAAAGTTAATATTTTATTTATATACTAATTAAAGTTAAAAATGTGTACCTCCAGAGGTGACCAGAAGGGGTTTCATTATAATTTTTGAGGTGGCCACATTTTGACGAGGTTTTGAATTTTTGAGGGGAGCGCATTTCGACGGGGTTATAAATATTCGAATTAAAAAAATTCAAACCAGAGGACAAGAGGATAAAACAGACAGCTGAAAGTGTAGTTGTACATGACCTATGAGTTTTAAAATTCTCATTTAGCTTGCTCTGTTATTAAGAAGAGAAGAGTAATAAAATATCTTCGGAGGAGGTTCATGCGCTATCTATTGTACAGCCCATGGAGTTTCTTGGATTCCATACTTTGTAAGGAAATACTATTACAAGGCCAAAGGTACTGGATGTAGGTGATCAGACCAGGATCACGTTCAACCGCTCGGTTTTTTCCTTTAATTAATTATTAATAAGAGTAACAACTTTATACAGAATGGGTGTGCCCCAGGAGGGTCTTGATCCCTGTTCGATCCACAGTTCGTGAAAAATTACATGCTATTAACCGGATTCGAACTTCCGTTCCTAAAATTACTTAAATATTTTTGTTGTTGAGTTAGAGCTCGAAACCGTCCTCACAGACGAAAACGTTGGAGTGTTATCTGTTTACTCGAGACTAATTCGCCTAAAATCGTCGGCCATTGCCAACCGTTAATTGAAAGGCCATTGATAGCGTGGTGCCGCTTTCCGCAAAAGACCGGAAGTGGTTGCGATGAGGGAAATCCCTTCTATTGAGGAGGCACAATTGTCCTGTCGATCAGTTCTCAGCGTTCAATGCGAACGGTGTCACGGTCCAGATTAGCACACATTTACATCAGGGCAAAGCTTAATCAATCTATCTTAAGTTACCATTGATGGAGTAAACGCAGATCGGAGAAAACTTGAGTTAGGCGTTTTACAGATATCGACCAAGTAATTTTGATTTTAGGAATAATTACGAAATAAAATATATTTCATGGTCTAAATTAATATTAGGATCATAGGTGCCGAGAATCTTAAAAAATATTAGGGGAGGGGCAAGGTTAGTGTTGTATGATGTATGTATGTATGTATGATGGTGTTTAACATGTGGTAGGAGAAAAAGGGATAAAACACTAAACATAAAGGAGAAGCTTAGCAATCAGTTCATTAGCTTTATTATAATATAATACATTATTTCTCAAAAGAAAATATTTTTTGTCTGAACACCATATCTTCATTAATTCTTCATCGGATCCAATTCAACGGATCGAACCATAATTTTTAAGATTATCTTATCCTTTAAAAAAAAATGTATAAAGAAAAGGAAATTATATTTGCACACAGTTTAAAGAGTATAGAATTAATAGTACTGTATAGTAACTTGAATTTGAAACGAGAATTTGTTTTTGCTAAATTTGACAAAAAATCAAAATGGAAAATTTCTACTAAATAGATACAAAATTTTATTTTGTATATATGTTGTGGTTTATTATTAGAACGAATCTTTTTAATTGACTAAGGATTACAAAATTAATTCTTTCCTTTTATAATGCACTGAATTATAATTATTTCCATGTTATATTGCCATTACACTGACCAATATATCAATCGTACAGGTGAACTAATGATGTAATTAAATATACTCTAGGTGAGAAAACTTTTTATCAATTCTTTATATTTTACTGTTGCTATTTTTATTCATCACATAATATTCAACTTAATTATATAAATTTCCAAATTTTCGTTACTTAATTCTAGCGCTAGATTGATAGATATCGTGCAAAAACGTTTGGAGGTCTCATTACCGCTATATGGTTCATTGAACTTTTTGTGAGTTATTCTAAGTAAATTACTGTCAAATATTTTAAAGGCTACCTTCTATGATTAAGACGAAATCCTTGATTGCTCAACAGTATGTGATGTGTGTGAGAACCATCGTTCGGATGTTTCATCAGTCTTATATAAAAAAAGAGGTCGATACAATTAATCGATTAGCAGATTGACACGGGACATAATGAACGAACGAGTCAGTTATGAAGGCAACATCTCTCGAACCACTTTCAATTATCAAATAGCGACCTTTCACCCATGAACCTTCCTTCTCCTTCGGAAGGATATCTTTATTGGATTCTCCTTCACCTGTACCAGTACCAATTAATGTCCTTTATTGTGGAATCCTTTCAATGTTTGTTTAGGTTGTTATCTGCATATCGCAAGTATCTAACATCTAGCCTTAGAGAAGGGACACAGAAACGGAAAGGCAGACTCGTACAGCTGTTTAATTAATGTGATGCGTCCATTGGCGCCTTAGTCTGTTGCATTGTCAGGATTTAAGTTGTGCTGTTTTATTCATGATAAAAATTTAAATATGTTTTTTAAATTTCTAGTAAATATGTCACAAAAAAAAAAAAAAAAAAAAAGAAATGTCTTCGGAACGTGTGGAACCAAATCTCAACTCCTCAAATCTAAATAAGCCTTATTATACTCATGCAACATTTTATTCACTTCGAGACTAAAATAGGTCCGTTATTTATCTTCACAATTAAACTCCATTTTGAATACATTATAAAAATTTCGAATATTCCACCACATAGATATCCAAAAATATTAGCACTACAGATAAATAAAAAAGAAATCGCATGGTTTAGGGACTTACTTAATCAGATAGAACTGCATGGATTAAATGTCAATTTAAATCGATCTAACTGTGATGATGTTAAACTATGGAGAGCTAATTTATATTTACCAAGAACTCAAATTCAGTTAGATATATATAATAAAAAATTTCACTTTTTATCCTTATTTAACTTCAGTAAATTATATTGATGACAAAAGCTCATTGAAGGGGATGATTAATTAAAGTTAGAGCTGATGTTTTGAACTTAAATTATAAACAATTCAAGCAAACAAATAATATTTGTAGCATGTGTAATACAAACGAAACATCTCTATCACTTTCTGGCTGCTTGTCAGATACTCTCTGAATTTAGAACTAAATGGTTAAAGTCTATAAATTTATCTCAGGATCAAGTAATTGATTTATTAAATGGAAACAATTGGATAGCATTGATAAATTACTGCAAGTCTGCTTTCTCCTGCAGAATAATGCTCACCAGAGAATTTAACAATTAATAAACTGGGGAATTTTGGTACCACTCTTTTTGTGAATAAAAATATTTATATAACTTTTACATTGTAAAAATAATTGTTCTTATTTTCTTATTAGTTGTTTGTGTGTTAATGGATTGAAATATAATTTTGTTATAAAACACAGACTCCTCTGACGGTCAACAGACCATGTAGCACGTCTGATTTTTGGTTTTAAATCCAAAAATATTATTTTCTATTGTTTTGTAATTTATATTATGTAATTTTGATAAATAAATAGACTTTTTCTTTTTCTTCTAGTCATGTACATAGGGAAATTTTGTAATTAAATGCAAGTTTTTTTTTTTTATTCCATAGCACCTTTTTTTATTTATCTTTGTCTTGAATCCTTTGATTTTTGTTATCTTCTTAATAGTCCTTTTACTACTAAAAGGCATTGTTGAGTGTATCTTTTTCTACATCTGTAATATAATGGGTGATGGGGCTCAACTCAGGCTTGAGTTGACCTTATCCTCTAGTGCTTACAACTAAATTAATAAAACACCTTCTCATGTGAGTTGTTGCCAACGTTTTGGAATTTTGGCTGGTAATGAGTTGCTGAAAAGAGGGTTTGCCAATTGTTGAGACTTTTTGAAAAATGTAAGCTTAGAGCGTTTTAGTTAATTTAATAAGTGTTGACGTAATCGGAATCGTCGAGCGATTTCTTTTCGTTTCAGTCTTTCGGGCTGAAGTCCCCCCCCACCAAAAAACGTAAAATATAACCATGTTTATCGAAAAAAAATATTTAAAAATTACTTCTTAAAGTATTATTGTTCGTGTAATTACATTTAAAAGGGCTTTAGGAATCACTTAAACACCATTTCATATAGGTAGCTAGTTTCCTTTTTTTTTCCACAGTAATTATCGTTACTTTTATGAAAAAAAAAGCTTTCGGTCTGAAGCCCTCTCCTCCCCCCCAAAAAATTAAATCCTGGATCCGCTAGTGGTGTGAGGATATCATGTGAGATGTTTGTCCAAACAGAATATAGGATTTTTTCAAATAGGGTATTATTAAAAGGTTACTGAATCACAGGAACCCATAGGTTTACTAAGTAAAGATGATTTTATATGTTTGAATGGTAAAGGTGGTTTGATAGTAATCCACACAGTACTATCGATTTTTAATTAGTATTTAATTAAGTTTATGTTTATTTAAGTTTATTGAAATATATGTTAATGTTTTGTTTATTTTTAGGTGCGTGTGTGATGCCGGATATACAGGCCGAAATTGTGAGAGCGAATATTTCCCCTGCGACCCCTCGCCGTGCCAGAACGACGGAGTGTGCAAGCAAGTCGACCAGCTGAGTTACCAGTGCAAGTGCCCTGCAGGTAAGCTACATTTTTATTTATTATATAATTTATTTATTTTATATTTTCATAATATAAAAAGTAAAAAAAAAAAAATTATATTATTTTTAATTCGAAAATATTTTAAAAGTTACATTGCGTTGGCTTTATAATATTGTTTATTGCATGTTATTTTGAATCTTAATTTCATATAATGGTCTATTAGTATAAAGGGTGTCGTCCTGTAAATAAAGAGAAATATTTAAAAAATTGATAGTTGACTTCACGATCTACAAAAAAGCAGATATAAACAATTGCCTAATTTCATGCAAAAAAGTAGGAAATTTGATATATTTATTTTTTTAAGAGATTCACGTTTTTTGTTGAATAGGAAATGAAAAAATAAAAAATATTTTATTTAAGTAACTAAACATTGCTCAATAGTAAACTAGACAAAATTTACTTTAAAAAAAGTATTTAAAGAGATTGCACGGACAAACTAAGCTGTTTCGTCGAAAAAAAGTCATAAATTATTTTTTTTCACTTTAATATATTTACCTCACTTTTATACAAAATCTTTCTCTTTTAAAAAGCTTAATTAAATTGAGGTTTATTTAGAAAAAAATTAAGATTCACCTCAAGTTGTGTAAAGAAATTATGTGATTTCCTGTCCAGTCACTTCATACTACTCCTACTTTCTGCAATAATTAAAACAATTAACTGTTGCAAAGATTCTATTTCTTGTTTTTCCGTGATATGGGATGTATTTTAATTAACATAATTGCCTAAAAACATATTTTGTTTAAAAAAAGATAATAAATAATTTTAATAATTTAATTATTCTAGTTTTATATTCAATGTTTAGTTACTTAAATCAAATATGTTTTATGTTATAGCTTTCTATTCAACAAAAAACATGACCCAAAAAAACAGAAAATCTTGAATTCTCACTATTCTGCTGGAAATTAGGGAATTGTTAGTATGAGATATATATATATATATATATGTCTTTTCACTTGGATCGTTGCATAAAAAAGGGAAAAAAAGTGACCTACAAAAATATTAGCCGTTTTGCCTAAATAACTTCGTTATTTTGACATTTTGGAAATGTAAGTCATCTAAACGGCTCAATGATTTTTAAGGCTACCTTTTTTTTTCTTCTCGATTTTGTGCTCAAATTAAGTTGAAAGCAAATGGGTATTTAAGAGTTTTTATTACTTAATTAAATGGACAATGTTTGCTAGTCTCCAGATTGAAAACGCCCCAAATCCGAGAATTTTCGTAATTAAAATAGTTCTAGGTTTCGATGAGAAGAAGCTATTTACGAAGTTTCTGGCGGATGTTAATAATTTGATAAAAACTGGTCTATACCACGGACTATTCTTAATGGTTATAAATTTTTGTGTTTTAATTTTACATATGAAAAAATTAGCAAGCATTGAAAGTTTAGCCTGATCACTTGTCTTGAAGTCGAAAGATAAGTTATTGTATTCAAGAATATAATTAATAGAAAGTATTATATTTTTTAATATGATTTTTTAATTTCTCTTAAATTGTTATGGAATTGACTTAAATCGAGGTAACTGTAAATTAATACTTCATTGTTGGATAATTTGACCTCGATGTTTTTTTTTCTTTCTACAACATAATACCTGTGTATTCGTGTCACTGCGCAGGCGCGCTCGGTAATTACTGTTGAAAGTGGCCTAGGTGATTAGGTTAGAATGAATGAGTTTTGAAAGCTATTAATCGATTTATCGAATAAAGTGGGTAACCTAGTCTTCGATAGTTAATAATATGACTAGTTTCATCATCTAATTAAACTTTGGTTACAATCCAAGTACCCTCCGTTAATTGTAGTAGGCTCTGCGCCGATAATTAGATAATCTTAGAAGCCCTGAACTAGATTTAACTCTAGTTTAGTGTCACCATTCATGTTCTCAAACGTAGTGTCCCCATTCCAGTTCATTAAAACTTTTTTCTAAGTCTAGTCGTTATAGAATTTTAAAATTTCTTTTACTATTTCTGGAGAAGGGGATAGTTCAGGAAGTAAGGCACTGAAATCCTATTCTCAACGACTCAGGCTCGAATTCAGCTGAAACAAATAATATATTATTTAATCAAGTCGTTGGCCTCTGTGTTTGTAGATTCATAATTATCTTACTTCACCTTCCATGAGAACTGCCCTGATGAAGGCGTGAAATTTGGGCCGTAACGTTGGCAAAAATATAATCTATTTATTTTAATTTGTTTCTTTGTTTGACTGAACACCCTCACCAAATTCCTATTATTTATTCTTTTTCATCTGCCTTTAAATCGACCCTCCTAGGCCACACTCAGTCTTTATTAAGTTGGTACCGTTCGTCATCGCTCTGCACAACCTTAGCCTTACAAACAGCTCTTTCTTACTAAGTACTGAACCCTGGACCTTACATGGGTTCTAGCAGTATAGGCTTTTTCTTTCTTTATTTATTTTTGTAATTTAATTTTTATTATTCACTTTAATTATAGTATTCTGTAATATGAAGATATTTTTTTTTTTTTTGCTTTGAACATTTATTTGCACCTGTCAACTTCATTTTAACAATCAGTGGGCGAACAAATGTGCTAAATATACATGAAATAATGACCTGTCAGGTCTGGAGAAAGACCCGTACTCAGCAGTATCTCTTCCTCCCTCTCTTGTTTCAATTACTTTTGTTGTTTAAGAAAGGAGATCTCTCACCCAGCGCCTTTTTAGTCTCCTCTTCATATTCAGCTATGGCCATGTCTCTTATTGATCTGTATTTATGTCCGTTTAAATATGTGTAAAATCGTTGGTAAAGTTTCGTTATATGTTGTTCAACAGTTGGAAGGTTGAGGTCATTATGTCAGTAAATCAGATGTATGTATATATGTTTGTTGTAAGTAATGTCAGTATGTATGTGAAAGTCAGTATGTACGAAAATTTTTGTTATAAATATAAATATAATAAACTGCGATTCGTTTCGAGTTAAAGTGGATAACGTAAAGCTTATAGAATAGAATAGAATAGAAAATTAAACTTTATTCTGGGACTAAGTCCCTTTAGAATAACAAAGATCAGTTAATACAAAGTTAAGTACAAATCTGGCCAAAAACTAACTTCTAAAAATTTTAATATTATATACATTATTTAAAAAGTATGTAACATAAAATCTTCTCAAAATTACTTAATTGTGATGAAAAAAAAAAAAGAAGAGAAATTACATTTTTATATATACATAACTACACAATTTATAAACAATAGGCTATCTAATAGAAAACTAACTTAATACAAAATGTAATAATATCTAAAGTGATTTATATAATAATATGCAGACACTAAGATAAAATAAAATATTAGGATTACTTGCGGTGTAATGGAAAAAAAAAAAAATAAATAAAAGGAACTATTGATACGTATATACTCATATTGGTACACAGAGAGACAAAAAGTATAAAATATAAACATATATACACGAAAGAGAAAGCACAACCTGAGGAAAAGAGAAGAAGAAATAAATAGTAAAAATAATAGTCAAACTAGGTGACAAAGATCATTGCTGTTTTATGTTAAAACTTAAACATTATGCACCACCATTTACTTCACGCAATTATACGTTACGTTTTTTGTGTTTGATATTTTGTCCCGATCTCAAATAGCAAATAGCACGTTTAACGGTAAGCTTCTTTTCAGTTTATAAAAATGGTGGACATAGAACAGTTGATATCGTGATATTTTAACTTTGTCAACTACCACGGCAAATATCGATAATGCGACTGTGTTACCGAGGTAATGAATGCTGCCATGACGACGACTATCATACTGTGAAAACGATATTATTAACTGCGGTAGTTACTGTCATGAATGTTAATGCCTCAGCTGTCATCGTTTAGACGGCAGTTAAGCGCTCTGGCCGTGATGTCGGGCCAGCGCAGGACGCCGAAGAGGCTGGAGGCTGGAAGGTGATAGGATCAAGTCTTTTCCCGCTCGGCGGACCGTCTAATTGTATTAGCGTTCGTTACAGAGTCGCGAACACTGAACGCCTCGTTCCTGAGTTACGCTTCGCGGCATTTCGTAACTAATTTACCGATTCGTAAAGCTCCGTCAGACATCGCTGGGTACCATTGGACATCGATCATATCTATATTGGCATAATTATTCGCAACATTTAACGGGTGGAAAAAAAAAACATCTTTAACAAAATAAAAAAGAAATTAACGAGATTTTTTTTTTAACTTTTACTATGATATTTACAATTGTATTAGTATAAATAAATCAAGTAAATGTGTACAGAGGAATATAATCACATGAAACACGCTTGTTGAGAAACTACCCATTAGTAGCACTCTAATAATTTGTCTACATGAGATCACGAGACCATCTTCTTTTCAGACGCCTCGGAGGGTTATCAGGAATCGAAGAGGAAGCAAGGTTAGTAACAAGAGGATTCTGATTGTTATGAAGTTTATTATGGAAGGATAGGTATCTGGATTGGGCCACATTAGAAACATATGGAACATTGAGGCTAGGATCACACGATAGTGTTGTCGAGAAAAAGAGGCTATATAATTATTAAGTACTACGTTAACAGTTGATAAATCTCAATTTATTTTATTTATCTTAATATTTATATACGCATGTCGGCATTATATTGACTCTTCCCTGACTTAATTCAATTACTTAACTTAATTAAAGTAGATCTCTCATCCAGCACCTTTTTTGTCCCATCCTTATATTCAGGGATAGTTCATGTGCAGCCATGCCTCTAGTTTAATTGTTGTTATGTCCGTTTAAATTTGTACAAAATCGTTGATTAAGTTTCGTTATGTGTTGGTTAACTATTGGCTGGTGGAGATCAGTTGAGTTCAGTTTTGTTAGTCACTACCTAGGTGCCTTTATTAAGAGTCTTATTAATTTGTTATTGGAAGGTATGAGGTTTTTGTAGATAGGTTTTTTTTTGCGATATCATATATCTGTAATGAGTATGTCTATATATTTATCCAGTTTTAGTTGTGAAGATTAGAAAAAAATGGGGTAA